TATTCTGGATGGATATTCATATGCTCTGAATTTATATATGTCTTTGCGGAATGAAATAACGTCACTTATGTAGTAATGAGATTAAAATACATTTAAAATGTCGTATTACATTCAGTCTGCATGCTGCATAATATATTGCACCAAACTAAACGCTTTTGTGTATGGGATTGGTGGGGTTGGAGGGTGTTAGTGGTGTGGCACCCTGATGGTTGCGTTATTTCGTCCTAATTTAGAATTTTGTGAAATAAACCTGATGTGTCCTCGAAACATTTCCAGATCGGTCGTTATGCCCCAATTGTCTTGACACTGATTACTCTAAAAAACTTAACACTACTATACATCATTCTGCACTACTATACATTACTATACATTACTATTATACGCCACTCTACACTACTATACATCACTCTACACTAATATTCTTCATTATACACTACTACTGTACATCGCTCTACACTACTATCCGCCACTCTACACTACACTAATATAAAACATCATTCTACACTACTATACATCACCTTATATTAATATACACCACCTTACACTACTATACATCACTTCACACTAATATATATCACTCCCTTTACACTAATATACATCATCTTACACTATATTATACATCACTCTAATCCTGCCTTAAATACAATACATTACTCTTCACTACTCTACATCACGCTATATATATATCACTCACTTTACACTGATATACATCATCTTACACTATATTAGATCACTCTAAACCTGCCTTAACTACAATACATTACTCTACACCACTATACATCACAATAATGTATACTACTTCACTATATAACATTCTAGGGGTGTAGAGTGAAGTACGGTGTAGAATGGTTAAATTATTGGGTAGTAGTGTACATAAATGAATATTGATCTATGGTAGTGTGAATAGGTGTATAGTGTTACATAGTTAGTGTAAGGTTAAATATGTATGGTATGAAGAGTAATGTGTGGTAGTATAGAGTGATGGATGCAGTGTGAGTGTTAAAGAAGGGTGTAAAGTAGGGTAGAGTGATGTATGGTATATCTATATATATGATTTTTATTTAATCCCGAGAAAAGAATATGGAAAATAAATGAATACAATTTATTTCGAGAAAGTAAGTCGAAAATAAATAATTTTGATTTAATTCTGAGAAAAGTATGTCGAAATTAAATTAATATAATTCATCTCAAGAAAAGTATGTCGAAATCAAATGAATGTAATTTATATCGAGAAAAGTATGTCGAAATTACATAATTTTAATTTGATTCTGAGAAAAGTATGTCGAAATTATTAAATGAATACAATTTATCTCAAGAAAAGTATGTCGAAATCAAATGAATATAATTTATTTCGAGAAAAGTATGTCGAAATTAAATAATCAATTGGTTTAATTTCGACATAGCAGGTTGAAATAATGATAATATGATTATTTTTTTCTTCTGTTAATACAATTTATTTCGAGAAACGTATGTCGAAATTAAATAATTTTGATTTAATTCTGAGAAAAGTATATCGAAATTAAATGAATACAATTTATCTTAAGAAAAGTATGTCGAAATCAAATAATCAATCGGTTTAATTTCGACATAGTAAGTTGAAATTAATGATAATATAATTATATTTTTCTTCTGTTAATACAATTTATTTCGAGAAAAGTATGTCGAAATTAAATGAATACAATTTATCTTAAGAAAAGTATGTCGAAATCAAATGAATATAATTTATTTCGAGAAAAGTGTGTCGAAATCAAATAATCAATCGGTTTAATTTCGACATAGTAAGTTGAAATTAATGATAATATAATTATTTTTTTCTTCTGTTAATACAATTTATTTCGAGAAAAGTATGTAGAAATTAAATAATCAATAGGTTTAATTTCGACATAGTGAGTTAATGATAATATAATTATTTTTTTCTTCTGTTAATATGGCCCGAAGACGCTTCCGTAATTCAGCTTTCTAGTTCAAAAAAAGGGAAAGGGTTTAGAATTTTCATATTTTCTTCACCTTAACAAGGTCAAAGGTCATTGAATTTGGCAATCTGCTGATTCTTTCAGATTTGATGTCTGAGATCTACTTCCGGTTACACAACCTTCCAAAAGGGGAATTTTTCACACCTTTTGACTGCTTTAGCACGTGACCTATTTAACGTACCATGTAACGTACAAGGTTGATTTTTTCAGATTCCCTAGCAAATTGGTACATTAGCAAAGTCCCACTCAGTAACACGAGTGGTCCTAGTTTTGTTTATTATTACAGTTGTAAATATTTTTTTTTAGCTCAAGACGAATTAAATGTTGAGACTTGTTATTGTCTAAATCAGTTGGGAAAATATGGTTTATTACATGATGATCTGTGTCAGATATGTATCGAATGCAATTATAGTGTTGGCAGTTTCCCTCAACATTCCATTGCTGTCTATCGTACTTATGGTGAGTTTATCACGCAACTAGTCACAGTCTAAAAACTTGGAGGTATATAAGACCTAAGTAAAGATAGCTGTTCAGACAGACGATGACGCTCTTGGTATACATTGTTGCCATTGACGTCATACTGCACGTAATTTTCACATGTTACCGGTCTGTTTTTTAAGATTGAAAAAGATAATAACAAAAGTACTAGAAATGTACATAATGTGCATAATATTTTCAAAAATATCTCTCAATCTATAACTCAAATATATGCCAGTGTCTCAAGAAAAGGCTACTCGTCTTTTTAACTTTCAAACGCGGATAATTCTAGACACAAATGGATTTGAAGGCTAAAATTTCAACTGTGAGCAGCTGTGAACATTATTACTGAGTGGCTTAGTCAATAGACATAATAGAGATTTTACGTTGGGAAAATTTATTGCAGACAAAGAATGTACCACTGATATACCTATGGTGGGTAACACAACTACCACAATAATACCTGGATATAACCATGTAGACGTCTACGGTTTTGGTACTGTTATTACTTTTGAGTGTGAGGTTGGACATGAATTCTCCGATGGTGAAACCAGTAAAAATATGTATTGTTACAATAACAATACATGGAATCCACAGTTAGATTCCTGTCAGTGTAAGTATTCCATTGATATTGAAATTTGATGATGTAACTTTGGTTCATTTGGTTTGGAATATATTATTAAAGGACCTTAAGTTAGAAATAATGGTGTAATAAAAGCTTTAGAAATACATTGGTTTTTTTATCAAAACACTCGTCTTGTAATCATCTGGAATAGATAAATGATCTCCCGCAACGGGGTATTTGCCCTAACAGAATTATTCTGACGATTGTAGATTTCATAATTATGCTTTTAGTGAAGATGTGTGAAGAACCAGTAGCTCTGACCAATGGGATGGTCGAAGGAAGCCGCTTCTACTTTAACGTTACCATAAAATATGTATGTAAACCAGGCTATGTATTTTCTACTGGAGCAGAGTTCTATTTAGCAGTTTGTCAAAGTGATAAAACATGGTCCAGTACACCTACAGCAGTCTGTAAAAGTAAGAAATTATCCATCTTATGCAATACATTCATTTCGAAGATCAAAACATAAATTGTCAACATTATTTTTGAAAAAATGATTCATGGAAATAATGTAACCATATTATGTTGGTAACATTTAAAAAGATTTTTTTAATGAAATTCAGATGCGATTATTTAGACATTAGAGTTATAATTGTCACTCATGGATGAATTATTGGTTATTTGCCAAAAATAAATTGATAAGAGATTCCCTTCGGTCGAAGAATATTATTTTTTTTCGGTGAACACCCGATATCGTAAATTGTGAAAAGTGATGTAGGTTGTCCTAATTCACAACCGATTTTCAAGAAATTTAAGTGTTTCCCCCATCGCATACTGAAATGAGCTTGATTCACTTGCTTTTGAAACTGTATAAAGGGGGAGAATTACAGTCAAAAATCATTATTCAAGATCAGTAACTATATTATTGATTCAGTTTAGACAGCTTCATTAATCACATAACCCTACAATTTCAGGGTTAAAATGCTCGTCTCCACCAGTAGTAGTTAATGCAGAAAATGTACCAGATGTTAACTACTTTGAAGATGTAATTACCTATACTTGTAAAGAGTATACCAGATTTCCCGATAATACAACAGAAAGCAACAGTCAGTGTACAGCAGACGGATCATGGACGTCCATAGAAACTTGTTCTTGTAAGTCGGATACTGAAGGTTTAAGTTCTGAAGGTTTCATGGAATTGTGGGTTTAATTTCAAATTCCAAATGTCGGGTTTCAGTGGTATAGATACTTGACTTACTTATTGAGACGATGGAACAGTGGCGGTGTCTGAGGGGATTCAGGGGTGTAGAAAGGTGGTTTGCACCACCAATCGTACCAGCACTTTATTTTTAACAAATTTTAAGATATGATTTTTTTACGTTTTTGCCCTAAAATATGCGTTTCTTAGAAGAGCCCTCTTAGACGCCCCATTGGAGGCTTGCGAATATCACGGATTTCGGCCTCAACAGTTCCCCCCACCCATTGAGCCTGTCTGTCCCCTATCTATACCCCTGTCGCGAAAAGTCACTGAATTAGATGAGGAACTTTTGGTTGTAGAGGTTTAATCTATTCAAGCTTAATTATATTAATAAGTGTGGTTAAGATTTTTGACTTTTACTTTCATTACAGTTTATACCTGTCCACCACCTCCCATTATGAAAGGAGCTTTCAGAACATTTGATAATGATGAGAAAGTTGTCTACATTTGCTATGGAAATCATTTTTTCTCTGATGGGAGTACTAACAAAAGTGTGACATGTAATGAAGAATTTCAGTGGTTGATTGATGACACATGTACCATTCCAGGTAAAATAGATTATGCTAAATCATTGGAATCAGTTTGTATACGCCCACACATTAATGTGGGCGTATATAGCCCTCGCCCCTGTCTGTCTGACTGTCTGTCTGTCCACAATTGGCTGAGTGTATTACGATGGCCATCTTTATTTTTGACAAATTCAAAGAATAGAAACTTCGAAATGCAAAGTTAGCCAAATAAAAATGTGTGATATCGATATCTCTGACTTGATCGTGTTGTTGTTGTTGCTTTAAAAGTACAATAAAGTTCGGATTGTATATATATTTGTTATATATTTCAGTGGAATTGTTTTCACCAAAGCACTCTTTCTGCCAAAGCCGGAATGGTGTAAGAAGAATAGCTAACAATATGATTACACTGACAGTTAGAAGTCGCATGGATTGTGCATTAAAATGTGCATTTAATGATCTCTGTTTGTCATATAACCTGAAAAAGGAGGACAGTAAATTTTGTGAAATACTCCTCAGTCCACTTGAAGGTGTATCTGATACAAATAATTCGGCCTGGATTGGATTCAATTCCATTAAGAGGTTGCCATGTTGATTAAATGAAGTTGCCTAGTAATGCTCATAATGTTATTTTTGCCCAAACGAACATCTGTTTTAGTAATTTTGATTTTAGTTTATTAGCATACAGGGGTCTATGTAATTTGCAATCACATTCTAAAGAAGTATTAATGGTTGTAGCACTTGATAGATCTGTAGTGTGGTCATAATGGATAATGGATTCGTGAGAATATTGATGTACGAGATTATAATCCTTTTGTTTTAAAGAGAAACCGTTGTAGAAATATTATGTTAATTTTAATTTATGTGATTTATTTGAATAATGAAATTGTTCTGAATGAATACATATTGAATCTATTATGAGAAAGCAAATGTAAAACCACGTTCCTTTAGCAACGGTACGATGATTATTCACATCTAACTAGATGATCATCGTACCGTTGCTAAAAGAACATGATGAAAATCAGACAATTTTATGTTATTTATTATAACTTGCCATAGATGCAAATATTTTATGGTCTAATCCAATTGATTCTAAAAAACATTACTTTAACATTTATATCCCCCAATTCCTATAAATCAAAGACTACATAATGTATATTGTATTGCACTTCAAAATTTCCAGTTAAAAATGGGCATACCCGGAGAGAGGAATTGCTCAGTGTATTATGTATATGTGGAAATACACGAATTTCCTACATAACTGAATGCAAATTATGAGTATTAGTTACATGATAACTCTGTATGACCAATGTTTTGTCAGAGTATTGATTCGGGAATTTCAAATGTATTCTCTGGAAAATCCAATGTTATATTGGACATTATTTTGTGCTACAGTTAAATTCGACTTACCATGATTCACATAATTTGATCAGAAATCTTACTTTACACTGCAGTCACGTAACGTAATTTTCGTGTTTTGATTCACATTGGTTAACTATACAGCCTCAACCTACAGAGATTTGCCTATCCTTTCAAAGCAATGTAAACTTTTCAGTTATTACCAAATGTCACAAGTTTTTATCAGCCAAATTTCCTTATAATCCCCAGATGTACTTGTCTGCTGGAATATATTCCGGTGAAGAAAGTCATGTGACAAATTAGCGGATTCCATGTCAGCAGAAAAATTCTATGTAGACACATTGTAGGCCATATTTCTAAGTTGTTTCAATGAATTCAATTGCGATAAATTACTCTTACGTTTTACTGATCTTATTTTGACGTCACTATTGTTAAAAATAAATTGATATTAAAGATAAATACTAAGAAATGATAATTATACCACTTGGTATCCATTTGACGTGTTTTTCTTGACACGAAAATAGGTGACGCATTTTGCCGCCGTTGTCGAGTTGGTTACCCATGAAATATGGGTGAAATTGGGGGATCCATCAAGAAAATCGGAACAAAACAATTCTAATTATTTCATAAAATATCTGAAGAAACATCTAAGACAAAAAAAAATTCCGTTTTTTTATGTTTACGAAATTCGGTGTTGAATCCTTATATGCACGAATATAAGTTACACACTGTATGTATTATATTTGTGATCTGCAGATGTGAATAACATGTATATGAAATAATAAAAAAGAATCCTGTATTATGTCGACAGGGAGTATTTCAGAAGTATTCAACAATATTGTAGCCTATGTTATACTTTAGCCTATCCCTATTTAGGCCATACGCCTTCAAATTTTAAAAGGTTCAAGGTCCAATGAGTCGACCTCAATTTAAAAGGGATTTACTCGTCATGATTTTTATAATTGGGTGAATTCATTGCAAACTTGCTCCTTGTAGCTGTAGATATAATTATCAGTGAGTCAGAAAATTCTGCAGAAAGTCTATTGATTCAGTCATATATTACCACAGATACTGATATGTGTATGTCATAAGTTTCTGTTTAAAGTCGAAATCATCCTTTAATATGTATCCATAATAAACTAATATTCTCCATAATGAAGAAGTCTATAGAACAGTTAAAGAAGCTTGCGTTTAAAAAAAAGTATATGTTATTTTTAGATATCGGGAATTCTATTGACCTATATAGAAATACACGTAACTGTTTATTTTTAGACCACATTGGTTTTATTTATCAAAGGTATGTACGATTATAATACTTATATCTTTTTACGATAGGTAAAGCGATTAAATAAATTGAAATCGATGCCATGTACTAATATTATAGAAATCGACATGTAGTGTTTCCATGTTTGAAAGGAACAATGATATAAGCTTGTATATAATAAGATTTGCATTTTGTCCAACCATTTGACCAATATACAAGGTTATGTGAACATTCCCTTTTTAAGCATACAGGGATTTCCTGAATAAAAGTAAAGTAATTTTATTTTCTTATTCCATTTTTATGGCAATCTTCATACCAAGGGTAGGTACACGATTAGAATACTTAGATCTATTTAGGAAAAGAAATGCGACTTTAGATAGATTCGATGCTTTGTACGTAAAATGAATAAGAGTTAATATAGGCATGTAGTGTTTCCACATTGTAATATAACAAAAATTTACAACTTAAGAATTCCATAAATAATCACCCACTTCTTCTGTATGTGCAACTCTAGTCGAAAAATGTAAGTATAAAAAACTAAAAATATATGCCTTATTCTGTTAAAACAGCGGAAACTTAATTCAGGAGCAATGGGGAAAACACGGGACACACTATAACAAAGATGATAGAACATTAATTTTCGTACATCAAAATTGTAGGTTTTGAAAAATTGGTGGGGAGATTACCAGAAAACCGAAATATTTTGAAATTCAAAGATGTCGCTTATTACTTCCGTAAACAGTTTCGGTCACTTGACTCGCTAGTAATAAAACCTATGAATCATAGAAATAATATTATATAAATATCGTCCAATATATATTTCCTGCCGACTTGGTCGATTTGGGATTTTATACTAACAACCTTATATGAATCAATAATGATAGATAATCTGTAAATTGATGTTAATGATCTAACTCTTCCGAAATGAAATGAGTTACGTTCCACTGAATGATGACGAATTTAACATCATTATACCAAACCCGATATATGTACTACATAAATATATATATATATATATGTACTATACCTGCTATAACTTAAAAATAAACACAGTTTAGGTTTAGGTGTATTAAAAGGTAACTATTATACGTACTCAGATTTACACAAATATCGGTTTTCAAATTGTTGTTGAATACTTTTGTTTAAACTTTACAGATATCATGAATAAACTTGAGAACATACTGACTGAGTTAAATCTTCACCAATTATATCCCAATTTTGAAAAGGAAAGGGTAAGATTATTTGCTTGTGTCCTTTAACTAAACATTATCTGATATTATTTTACTATTTCTTACTGTTTAATGCCAATGGTATGGTTTACTAAGTGCCTGTTAGAAGTAAGATCCTAGCTAATAGGGTTCAATAGTGAAACATGGAATGTGGTATTTTGTCCTAGTTTTGCTACTCAATTTTGGCTACATTAGAGATCAAGTTTAAATAGTTTGTTTTGACTACTTTTAATTTCACAGATCTATCTTGGAAAAAAAATTTGATGCTTTTTTTTAATATTAAATGTTGGATAAATATCTTGAACTAATATCCCATTCACATTTTTCCCTTACATATTTTATGCATTATAAAGAACAGAAAATTCAAGTATTTGTCTATGGCACATAACGTCTCTTCCACTTTTCAACGGCAACACTACGAGTCTCTAAGACCATTTCTATTCGTATGTATCGAATTCTTGTTTTTAGTTTTTCACTTTTTTTTTATTTCAAAGGCAGCACATGCCAAGCGGTGCCTTTCAATTTTCATGCTGATTGGCAAGTCTTTTAAGACATGTTGTCCTTTTGGAAGCATGTGAGCTTTGTTCATGACAGCCTCCTTATCAACAGTATGCACAAATTTAACAATTATGACTGGGGGTCCTGTTTTATTTATATTTTTCTGAAGTCTGTGTTAGTTCAAAATTTGCACTTTATAGTTTATCCCAAAAGTATTTTTAAAAGGATCAGTCATTACTGTATTGACATCTTCTTGTTCAGAATACGGGATTCCATAAAAAAGAAGATTATACTTGCGATTGTAAAATAATATACTGAGTGTGGAATCAAACCATAATATCAAAAAAAAAAAAAAAGAATTATTACAAAAAAATTTCTTGCAATAAAAACTCAAAACGAAGAATATATCCTTTTTGACATTTGGAAAAAGCTAGACAAATACAGGGACAAGTGATTTGAATAGAAAAATACAAAAAGAAAACAAAAAATAATTTGTCAGCAATGACACAAATCTTTCATTTTTCTGCCTCCAAACTCAGTATGTAGAATATTTTAAAAATGATGTATCAATATGTTAATTAATCTTAAGTAAGCTTAAAACTAAGCCCCTATAATTTCCTTGAAAACCACATACAGGTAGTTGAAAATAATTTATGAGTTAATCATTGATGCAACAATCCTAAGGCAATATGCCATTTTCCATGTAGCCTTCACTGAAACCCATTTGTAGGGTTATACTAACTAGATACCTCAGTAAACAATACCAGTGGATTTTAAAAGTAAGATGCTGTAAAATATACTGAGTTCTGAGACAACACATTCAAGATAGATTGAAAAAGAAAAATATAATTTAGAAGAACAAAAAACAGTGAAGCCTCCAGAAGGAAGTTAGACATATAAAGAAGCAATTTGACCAGACTCTAATGAAAAGAGAAACAAAAAAATCTATGCATTAACAAATACATTTAATGTGTTTTTCCCATTCTCCGGACTCAGTATATTATTTACATTAAAAGCCCAATCAATCAATACCTTAATTAAGCTCAAGCATGTGGTTTGCAGCCTCATAAATCGAAATCCCTATAATAATTTTATGAAACACTCCATGCAGGCAGTGAATGTATAAATGAGCACAAACATATCAATGAAACAGCTATAATCAAGCACATGCAGACTGTGTCTTGATACCTCTCTAAGCTATTCGGAAGGATGTATAATCCCCTCCTCTTGTATGAGACAAGGGAACCTGTTTATGTTGATAGTGAATACAGTAGATTTACTCTCAACATATTATTTACACATCTACAATTCAGTCAGTATAGCCATATGCTAAGGGAGATAACTACAATATTGTACCGCCTACTAAATTCAATATGTTCACAAACAACTATCTTAACACTTGATAATGGGTAGCAAACTTCACTTTCTGTCAGTAAACTGTCAAGGCCTAGGAAATAGTGAAAAAAGGAAAGATGTCTTAAACTTTTTGAGAAATGAGAAATATAATATTTATTGTATTCAAGACACACACTTTATTAAAGAACTAGAACCATACATACGTAGTGAGTGGGACTCTGGGTGTATATTCAACTCTTTTAGCAGTAAATCACGAGGAGTAGCAAGCCCATTTGGTAACAATTTTGACTAAAATAACTAAATAATTTTCAGATAAACCCGGAAATATTATAATTGTAGATCTTCTAGTAGAAGAAACGACATTTTCAATAATAAATATTTATGGTCCAAACAATGACAACCCAACATTCTTTGAAAACATATTTAAAAATATAAATGAATTCAAAACAGAAAAATTCATAATATGTGGGGACTTCAATCTCACTTTAAACCAACAATTAGATAATAAAAACAACCTACACGAAAATAACCCAATTGCCAAAATACAACTTCTTGAAAAAATTAAACAATATGATCTAAAATAAGTATTTCGGGAACTCTTCCCAAAATTACAGAAATACACGTTGTAAAAAAACCCAATGGAACTTGCAAGACTGGATTTTTTTCTTAGTAACCAATAACTTAATGGCAAAAATAATCAACACACTAATTATTCCTAGCTATCGTTCTGACCATTCACAAATTGTCTTGGAACTTCAATTGTCTAAAGTCCAAAAAAACGCAAAGGCCTATGGAAATTTAATACATCCTTTTTGAATGACAAGATCTATCTTGACGCAATAAAAACATTGATTTCAAAAATTAAATGCCAATATGTATTGCCAGTATATAACTTTGAAAATATTGATAAAATAGATACAAAAAATATTCGAATTTTTAGACATACTATTAATGGAAATAAGAATGAAAACGTCATACGATATTTTTTTTAAAAAGGGAACAAAATGAAATGAAAAAAAATCTATTATAGATGAAATTACAAAATTAGAAAACAATGAAATTTAATCATTAAACCTTTTAGAACAAAAACAAAATGAGTTAACAGAATATAGAAAAATAAAAATCAAAGGAAACATTATTAGGTCTTAAGCTAAATGGATTGAGGAAGGGGAAAAACCCTCGAAATATTTCTGTAGTTTGGAATTTAGAAACTATTACAATAAGCTAATATCTCGATTAGAGACTGAAAATGGTCAAACAATTACAATCCAAACTGAAATAATTAAAGAGACATTTTTTATCAAAATCTGTATGCGAAGATGGATTATGATACAGACCAAAATGATCTCATACAAAAACTAGGAAAAGTAAATTTTAATGTACTATCCGACACTGAAACAGACGAACTTGAGGGGGAAATACAATCTGACGAAGCATTGGCCTTCCTGAAAAACATGAAAAATGATCGAAGCCCTGGCTCTGACGGACTTCCGGTAGAATTTTTCAAATTTTTTTGGATTGACTTGGGTAATCTTATTGTTAGAGCTAAAAACTACTCCTATAGCATAAATAAAATGTCGGTTGTTCAACAAATAGGCATTATTACATGCATACCTAAACCAAATAAACCAAAGCAATACTTAAAAAACTGGCGACCCTTAACTCTTTTAAATACAATATATAAAATAGCATCGGGAGTGATAGCTAACAGAATCAAAAAATACTTGAACAAAATTATAGGCCCAGACCAGACAGACTTCATAAAAGGCAGGTACATAGGCGAAAATATTCGACTAATCTATGATATACTAGAGAATACAGAACAACATAAAATACAAGGACTTTTACTACTGATCGATTTTGAAAAAGCATTCGAAAGCGTCGCATGGAACTTTATCTTTATCTACTTGATCTCTTTGGTTTTAAGAAATCTATCAAGAAGTGGATTTCTACTTTATATAATAATTCAACCTCAAGAGTAATAATTAATGGACATCTCTCATCCGACATACAGCTTGGAAGGGGTGTTAGACAAGGGGACCCTCTAAGACCAAATATCTTCATACTCTGTGCTGAGATACTTCCCATTCTCATCAAAGACACAAGAGATATTATAAAGGAATAAACATTGGAGGAGAAGAGTATCTCATCACTCAGTATGCTGATGACACTTCATTTATATTGGATGGGTCACCGGAATCATTTAAATCCAGACTTGAAACTCTAGACTATTTTGCTATTTTTTCAGGATTAAAGATAAACTTTTCAAAAACTAAAGTTGTCTGGATAGGAAGTAAAAAATACTCTAAACAAGTATACCATCACCCAAGATGGAAACTAGATTGGGGAAGCACTGACTTCAATCTTTTAAATTTCTCCGTAGACATAGAAACTTTGACCAAAAAATAATTACCATTCATAATTTACTTCAAAAATGGCAGAAAACTTACTGTTATAGGAAAAATAATTGTTATTAAAACATTGGCTTTACCCAAATTAACACACCTACTGAGTGCACTACCTTCACCCCCAACAGCGTATCTTGAAAAAATAAATAAAAAATTCTTTCAATTTATATGGAATAAAAAATCTGACAAAATCAGCCGTGACACCTTATTTAGGGAGAAACAACCATTGACAAATCAATGAAATTATCTAACAAAACTATAAGAATGTGGAGGAACATGGCAAAAAATAATTAAAAACATAATTAATACCACAATATGTGAATTAATAGAATATGGCAATGAATATATAAAAAAGAAAATCCCTCAGATTTCAAACAATTTTTTGAAAGATGTTTTACACAATTGTTCACTGCTACAAGACAGAGCAAAACCCCATGACTTCAACACTCTAAATATATGGGATAACAAAGAAATAAAAGTTGGAAACCAAACAATACACTACAAGCATTATAGTAAGATAGTGGACCACAGCCATATACGCCTACCACGGATGCGGATGGTAAATATTCAAGATTTTGGGGAAAGGGCAATGACTCTGCTTCTAATGGTCGAAAATAGCTCAAATTCGAACTTTATCTTCGTTTTATGAAAATGTATACACATACCGAATTTCATTTGATTCCATCAAAAAAATCTAGTTTTAGAGCGTTTACAAGCAAATGTTGACGGACGGACGGACCAACTGACGGACAGGGGTGCCGACAATATACGTCGAGAGATGTGGGCGTATAAAAAAGGGGATACATTTCATAAAAGACATAAGTAATACATACATAAACTACAATCAGATAAGAGAATTACAATATAAAAACCAATTTCCTAGAACATGAATCACTCCTGAGAGCAATTAAAATCTATAAAAAAAAGTTAACCCTGAGACTTGCATTGTTAACAATATCCGGCCAATCATACCATTTAAAATCAAAACATTCCTCAATTACAAAACTCAAGGCAAAAAATATATTAGAGAAACTTTAGCCAAAAATAATTCTAATGTACCAAAAGCAAAAAATCGCTATAGAAACAAGGGATATAATATAACTCATGAAGAGTGGAAATATTATTATTCACTACCTTTCAACACTAGTAAAGATACATCACTTCAATGGTTACAATATAAAATACTACACAGAATTCTGACTACAAACACATTTCAACATAAAATTGGAATTTTGGACACTAAACTATGCTCACTCTGCTGAGACACTTGAACATGTACTCTATGACTGATAAAAATTTTGAAAAAATCTGGCATGAAGTCAATACGTGGATAAAAAATATAACACAGATTGAGGTCAAATTAGACAACAGAGATGTAATATTATGTATTATTATTTGTTTTATTAACAAATCAATAAATTGTAACACATTAGAAGTTATAAATTGGATAATAATGAACATTAAATTATTTATCTATAGAATCAAACTAAAGGACCAAAATCTACAAATCAATGCAATTAAAAATATGTTATCTGTACAATTTGAGATACAACAATACTGTATGTTTAAAAAAAACTACCACTATGAAAAATACACTATCTATTATGAAAAATGGGCTAGAATAGTACAAACTGATAACAAATCAAAAGTTATATCGGGCAGTTTAAAATTACTGACAAAAACCTCAATGTACAACTAATATTAATTATTCTTAGCTCTACCGAAGTGTAGGTGTGTAATGTACTTCTTTCTCATTTACTGTATATACATTATTGTGGGACTTTGCTTTCAGCAAAGTCCCAGTTTGTTATCGAAATGTCCATTCTTTTTTTTTTTTTTTTTTTTTTTTTTTTTTTTTTCGAAATTTACACACCTTCCTGAGCCTAGACTGCAGTAGTTGCAGCAACCATTCAACTTCTCTAGACCTTCTGTAGTGGCGACGTGTTCCTTAAATATATATTGGAACATTTTTGCAAAACCGGAAGTGCCACAGTTCAACATGTGCAAATAGTCGAAAATCGGCTCTAGAAGGCGTATTTTTGCATCGATTTTCTTCGGGTTTTCATTTTTACAATCTACCTGTAATTTCTGACCTGATAGCACTTGAAAAATTACGAAATTTGAAAATTCGTCGCTCACTTTTTTCGATCAAATTTTTCAATCTTTTTGCAACTTTTTTGCTTTTGCATCGATTGATCTGAAATTTAATATGCAAAGGGACATCACCAAAGCAAATAATATGTAGTTGTCAAATATTTAATTTTACTTCCGGTTTTAAACAGGGAATCAATTGAAAGTACAGTCCACTTCCGGTCGAATAACTTCCGGTGTAATTGAAATAAGTCAACGAAATTTATGCTGATCGAAAGTAAATGCTATTACCAAAAAACGAAGAAAATAAAATCCAGACCGGAAGTGATACTTTGGCCGCCATATTGAAAAAACACACTTTTGTAAAACTCAAAATGGGGCCTCAGGGTAAATGTTGATATGCTCAAATTTGATGTGAATGTATTCCGCAATCGATTGCGCAAAAAACATTGGGAGCCGAATTTTGAATTTCGCTTTTGCTTTTTTGCAACTTCCGGTTGACATTTTTTCATGCTTTAAACGATCTTACCATGTGACCTTGACCTTTGATGACCTTGACCTTCATAGGGTCAAAGGTCATTGACCTTGGCTATCATTTGATACTTTGACCTTTGACCTCCGACATGTACTTCCGGTTTTATAGCTATCCGTAAAAAGCCAAATTCGCAACTTTGGATTGCTCTAGCACGTGACGTACTTAACCTAGAGGGTTAATTTTTTCGGTTTCCTAATGTGCTTCTCGTGCCCTTTACATAGATATATAACAATCGTTCTTTTAACGCAAAATTGAAATTGGTGATTTTTTCAAATTTGAGGTTTTTTTTACAATATTTGCGTCTTTTTGAGCTTGGTGTATGTATATCTTATGATCTATTTGATGTAGAATCTTGATATTTGGAATACAACTAGACACTTTGAATATGAATTCACCTATGACAAAAAAACTTATGTGGGCGTGGCACATCCGGGTTGAATTACTAATTGTTTAGATT